TTATTTTGCTCAAATAGTGAATAATTAAAAAGGCTCAATGAATTTTATATTAATGCTAAAATTTTTTAATGAATTCATTATTAAATTTTCTAATTTATTTGTTAACATGTATGAGAATTCAATTAATTTTTATTTGGTCATGAACTTAGTAATTAACTATTTTAAATTTTTATAACATTAATTTAAGCATGTCAAATATAAATCAAGCCTAATTATAAAAAAATGCTCTTTTAAGTAAAATATGAAATGACTAATTAAGTACCCCTCTCATGAGAGAATTAAAACAACACGTTCACTAAGCACAGAGTATTTTGATCAATCAAACCCTAAGTTTAACTTTAGATGATTATCTAAACAATATAGTAAGTTCAAATGAACTCGATATGTTTTCAAATGATTCTAAAGGTTGTTTGGAGTCATGCTTCAAACATCCTTCTGATCTTTTGGATATTTTTGAAGGACGAATGAACCTATTGTATTTTGTTCTAGAAAATCATCCATTAAAACTTCTAGGGAATTAACAGGCTGCGACATAGAACTCGGTAGGGGCAGCTTGAACATTTTCCCCTTGTTTTGTTTCCTGTAATTTTATTTAAATTTATGCAAAATTATATATATTGCAAAAGCTAATCTTTCAGTGGGAGTAATGAGAAGATGACAGGTACACCTTTACGATTTTATTTAATTTCTGTCATTTTATTTACTGCAATTTACTCTTGATTTAAAATATTATACATGCTTGGTAGTAGATTTTACTTCACCTGCAAAATAAAAATAAACTTTCCAAAATCAATCAAGTTTTTTAAAATTAAACAACATTTTCAAAACAAAAAAAAACAACAATTTCATAAAACGTCCTTTTGAATTTACGGGAGTCCCTCAGATGGGATAACCCACGGTTGCTAACGAGATCTCTCCAATTTAAATAAGTTTAACAACTCGTTTAAGCTAAGTACATTCAAAAGAAAATAGTGGTACCGGAACAAGGGAACCGTGAGATCCTAACTGGTGTCGCTCTAATCAATGGTGTCGCTCTAAATAATGATTGAACTGAGACTTAACCCCCTCCATAATGATTGAACTGAGACTTGTCATTTAAACCTTTGAGACTTTAGGATTGCTAACACCATGGGTAGCACAGCCATAATGTTCAAAATAACAACTTTGAGAGAGCAAACAGGTCTACAACAGCACGAGGATCTACAACCACAAATCTTTTCTTAGAATTAAACAATAATCCATAGGACTTCGAGGTTGTCTTCCTAGTGTGGCATAAATTCTCAACTTTATCTTTAGGCTTTTGCATAATCGTGTTGTGCAATTTAAGCCCTAACTCGCCTTAGGTTCCGAGGTTGTCATTTATTGTGATATAAACCCTCTTATCTTCCAGGCTATTTGTATGATTATGTCATACAAATGTAAGCCTTAAATAATAATAATTGGCATGATTAAACAATAAATAATATCATCTCACCAAAATTAAAGGCAAACTATAGAATAACTTAGGAAGTCGACAAGGTTCTCCTCAGGATCCATGGCATCCCCTAGTCTTTCTTCTTTTGGGTTCCAAAATAAATGTTCTAAATTTGATCTTCTCTCATTTGACACTCCTTTGTCCGACCTTTGAAAAGTCCTAACCTTTTGAAATCCTTGAAGGCATGATTTTATGATCTAAATTAAGAGTTTTCTTAAGTGACTTTGGTCATTTAAGATGTAATTAACTATAGAGGCTTGCCCTAATAGGAAAATTTAAGAACCTAGCTTAATATAAACCCTACCTAATCTTCCATATAAGGTAGGGGAACTTGTCGGCTTATATAAAAATGGTTCACAGACCAAACAGATGTCATAAATTCTTTAGTTTATTTAATCGAGCCTTACTAGTAAGTGATATATCTATTCCTTGGGGTAGGCATGTCACTTGTAGTGTTGTGCTCGTTTATTTAAACTTTTGTCTATATGGGATCGGTGCGGTCTCTTATTTTAAAAAATTTTAATATTATTTTTTCAAAATTAAAATATTTTTTTTCTAAAAAATCAAATTTATATATGTATTGAATTAAATTAAATTACTTTCAAGAAGTAAACGACACATTTTCTCTGTCTACAATAAGGTGATGTCATTCTTAAGTTTTATAGTTTTGGATGGAGAGAAGTATTTAACAAGAAACTTCTAGGCCAAGTAATTTCAGGTTGTGATTGAGCTCAGGGCAAGTGAATTGTTTATTCCTTATTGAAAATGGAAAAATCCTCAGTTCAATGGCATCATCGGAGATACCGTTATTTCGGAAAGTGGCACATAGTTCCAAAAAATTATCTAAGGTTCGAGCCTCTAGTGGTAAGTCCCCCAAATCAGTTATTTTTTACCATTTGGATTATGGTGGTCATAATTCAATGGTATTGATTTCAAAATATGGGTAATTAAAACTCATGTGAATCTCCTCAATAGACGGATTAACATACTCTATAAATGGTTTAATGGTGGGGGAATTATGGTTAGTCATCTCAAATTGTTCTTCAATAGACAATTGTGATATCTTAAGAAGTCAAAATGTACGATAAATTTCAGGGTCAAAAGGCGCGAGGTCAGCCCCAGATCCCCTAAACATAAAAAGGGAAAATAATAACTTTATGTAGCACACTAACACTTTGACCCACACAAGTCAGTCAACACATTTGCATGCAGATGCAACACAGAAAATGCAAAGAAAACTACAGACATATAAAATAATTAATGACATGTCTTTTTTCATGCTTAATTTTCTTTATTTTTTACATTTGTTTATGAATATCACTATAAAGGAAGGTATTTTTATATTTTTGGTGCAGGTATAATAGGTAAATAAATTGGAGCGAACTAGAGAAAAATCAGAGGCAAACAAGGCAATTAGAGCAATAGTGTGGCATGCGGCGCATAGGCACCGCTTCTTAGTGCCTAAGTGCCAGAATATGACCAGGAAATAGAGAAGGCAGCACTTAGGCTCCACTTCCTGGCTCCTAGGTGCCAGGATCAGACCAGGAGACAGAAAGGGCGGTGTTTAGGCGCCACTTTCTGATGCCTAGGCTCCAAAACTGACCGGAGGAGTCAAGTTTTTTGCCCCGTCGTCGAGGAGTCGCAACTGTAGAAGAACTTTTCAAGAGAATTTTAGTTGAATCTCTAAGACTTAGATTTAAAAATTGTAGTGTTTATATAAAATGAATAGTATATTTTGTGCCTTTATTTTTAAAAGAAAATCTAAAATACCAAAAAAAAATGGGTGTTAGAAATATATCCTATTTGTCAAATCTTGAGCATTGAATGCATAGTTCAAAAGCTGCATACCTTGAATCATATGACTCAGAACTAGAGAAAACTATTAACAGGATTAGGAAATAAGAAGACTTCAAAAGCTCATTGTAGAAATGGCGGAACAAAATCATGGAAACCCAAATATGAATTGTAATGTTAATAGACATTTGAGAGATTATGCAAATCCTATGGTGGATGAATTTCACTTAAGTATAAAAATCCCAGCTGTAGAGGCAAAATACTTTTGAAGTTAAACCTGTAATTATTTAAGATGGTGCAAAACAATCAATTTGAAGGATCTCCATCTGAAGACCTCAACTTACATTCATCAAGTTTTTTAGAATTTTGTGTCACATTTACATATAATGATGTGTCTAATGATGTTGTTAGACTTAAACTTTTTCCCTTTTCTTTGAGAGATAAAGCTAAAATGTGGTTCAATTCATTAGCACTAGGGTCCATCAGAACATGCATAGATTTTTCTCAGAAATTTCTTGCCAAGTATTTTCCACCATTCAAAATAGTTAAGTTGCAGAATGATATCACATCATCAGTCAATATGAAAGTGAATCAATTTATGAGGCTTGGGAACCATTTAAGAAACTTCTTAGGAAGTGTTTGCATCATGCATTACCCATTGACTTATTATACAAACCTTCTATAAAAGTTAGTTAGATCTTTAAGAGCGATTATAGATTCTTCTACAGGCGGGTCTCTTATGTTCAAACATTATGAAGAGACCTATTCTCTCATTGAGGAAATGACCACTAATAACTTCCAATGTCTACCTGAGAGAGTCAATCTTAAGAAAGCAGCTAATATTCATGAAAATGATGTACTTATAATCCTAATATCTCAAGTAGCAGCTATTGCAAGAAAATTAGACCATTACAAGATGAGTCAAATTAAAGGACTTCCTTCCATGAAGGAAAACTCATTCGCAAAACTTCATCTCATCATTCTCAAGTGAAAAGAGAGGGCATATTTGTAGCCTTTTGGAGAGAACTGTTTTTAATTTTGGTGCATAATTTTTCTAACCACCTGATTTCAGGGTCACTGTAGATCCCCCTTGATCATAGAATTTTTTTTAATGATATGATTGCTTTAATAACCTTAGGATTTAGCGTTTTTTAGCTTGTTGGCTTTCTCTTTTCGAACGCTTGATTCAATTATAGATATGACAATTTTGTAGTTCATTTAACCATTCAATTGGTGATCCAAATTCTTCAAATATTCTTCAACGATTAGATCTAATCATGATTGGGCCCAGATTGAACCGATTTTAGTATCTTTGGCTGAGACAATAACTTGCTAAATTAAGACCCAGATGATGTTAACTTTGAATTTGAAAGATCATTCATAATAAAAATATATTGAAATGCATGCTTGAGAAAAAAATATTGATGACACATTAGTAATAGATGTGTTAAACTATGACTTCAATTAACTGACGAAATAAAACAACTTAGACGCCAAACAATTCTATGCAATATATACACATTTTTAATTCATTTTTTATTATCGCATAAGTAAAGCATTGGGGCGCCCTTAGAGACCACAACCAGTGGTTGCACGTTGAGCAGAACCGATCATGGTACGCTGCCAAAAAGCTGTCGGTCTTATCCAGAACGCTTTCCCATCCTGCCAACCAAATTTATTTTCGTCAAATAAACGTACACTATTAATTGCAATAAAATATTTATAAATATATCCACTCAAACATTGATCGGCCATAAACACCTTAATTTCGCAGCCATTTCTGTTGCAAGCTCCAGTAATGGCGGATATAGCTTCCTTCATCGCAGAAGACTTTGAGAGGAGGATGAAAAAGTGGGAGAAGGGAGAGCAACATGAGGGGTTTGAGTTCAGCTCCACTGTAGCCGTGGCCTCCTCTGTTCTCTTCTCCATCGGAACAAAACTCGACCAGCAACTTGCCTTTGTAAAGGATGGTATTGAAAAGAATGCTACAGAACCCAGAAATTCTTTTTCTCTTGCTGCATTTAATGGTTTCTTCTCAGCTTGATAGATCATTTTCCTACTCTTTTTTTTCTTTTTTCCTTGAGGATGTTTCTTCCTTTCCCTAATTTTTCTTATGGAGATTATGCATGTTGTATGTTTTTCCTGCGAGAGTCTTAACTTAATTGTTAATGTACTAAGAATTTTATTTCATATGTCAATATATTGTGCTCCTTTCTATGCTATCTGTGTGGATGAAATTAAAGGGGATGTTGATTATTCCTCCAAATTCGATTGTGCCATATGCCTCATAATTATCTGCAGGCCCTATTTTAGATGAAATTGTTCTTATATTAAAAAATGAATTTTCTTCATGTAAATGTTTGAATGAGTATGCAGGACTCCATTCATTCAAAATTTACCTCTGAATGTTTAAAAATAGCAAACATATTAGCAAACTTCTTATGAAAAACATATTAGCAATAAGATTCAAAATAGGATTTTTAAACTTTGGTTCAAGCTTATTAACTCAAATCTAACCCAAATTGTAAAAAAATAATCCGAACCTTATTTTTTTAGTAAGATATTTAGCAACATCAATCCTTTAAAGATATAAATAATTTAGAAAATAATTTTTTTCTTACCAAGATGAGCTCAAGGTTCAAATGTTTAGCTAATGATATAAAAAAAATAAAATAAAATAAAACTTATTATTATAGCATTGTGTAACACAAGAGCATGACAAACTTGTATTTAAAGTTGCTTGTAGAATCTATTAAACATACAAAATCTACTTGGTGAACAACTACAACATGAAGTTTTATTTTTAGCTTTTATGTTATAGCCAACTAGTTCTGAAATGGCCATACTAGAGAAATTATCCAGACCTTAGAGTAGAAGGTTTTACAAGCACTAAATTGAAGGGTGACTCAAATTTCATTCCTCTGAATCAATCTATGAAAAAAAAAAGCAATTCATTTAAGAAAAAATAAGCTTTCATTTAATGCCTCACTATCAAACAAAATAAATCTAATAAGTGAAAAACACATACAGAGAAGAGGGACTTTGGGCTTATGCATGGTGGAAATAGCTTCATTTTGGACTATCAAAAACTATATTTAATTCGGGATACGAAAATTTATTATTTTATTTGTTTAATTTTATAAAAGTTAATTAAATTATTTGTGATACCTGGCTTCCTTTTAATTTCAATTTTTTTTTTTTTTTGTTTCATGCAAGAGGCCGCAAAGATCAGACAAATAATTCTATGGAGAATTTATCCCCATACGAAAATTCATGAAAAACTTTAGCCTGCATTGCTGTGAATGGAAATATTCAATGATTAGCTCATACGGCCAAAGAAATGGTAATAGAAAAGTAAAAATCTGCTTTCTTTTGCACTTCGTTTAAGAATATTTTGTAGTCTAAAATTATCATGTAGAAGTTCTAATTAAGAGACTTCGTTGATAATTAATCTAGAAATGACGGACGATTATTCAGTTTCATTTAAAATATTATTAGAAAGGATAACGCGCGCTGCGGAGTTGACCACGCCACCTGCGCTTCTTCGCGCTTTTTTTATTGAGGTGCCCCCACGGCTTCACTTCTTTTGCCCTCCGGAGCTCTTGCATTTTCTCCTGTGCCCCGCTCCTCCTCATCCCACATTTGCTCGTCTTCTTTCCTTCGTTCTCCGACGCATGTGAGGAGGGTTTCCAGACATTTGCTTCTTTTTTCGATTTCCTCTATTCCTTATCTTTCTTTGATGGATTTGCTCTGTTAGCCGCATTAGTTTGTACAGAGTTTCTTCATGGATTTGCTTAATGCAATTCTTGTTTTTTCTGCGTAGCACCTATTTTTTGAGATTTTTATGTTCATAATTGTGGATGTTTTGGCTGCTAATGCTTAAGTTTTGATGTTTTAGTTGGAATTTGGTGTTGGATTTGTGTGAGGATTTGATATTTGAGTGAGAATTTGTGAGAAGAAGAGGAAGCCTGATGGGGGGTCAGTTTTGGCAGTTGTTTCAATTATTTGAATCTGTGAATGGTTTTGTTTTTTAGTATGAATTTGGTGTTAAATTTGAGTTGGAATTTGGTGTAAGATGCTAATTCATAGCACAACAGGTCTTCTCTTCTTTTCAAAATTCCTAAAATGAAGTGTAATGATTAGCTACAATCTCGTTGGGAGGCTTGCTGTCATATGTGAATGCATTTTTTTAGTGAAATTTGGTGCTGGATTAGAAGAATTTTGAGCATAAGAGATTTATAGGAGGTGTGGTGGTGGGTGTGGTAGTTCGGTGTGTTGGAATTTGAGTGGGAATATGAGAAATGCATACTAATTTGGTGGTGTGTGTGGTAGTGTGCATGGTGATGTGGTGTGGTGGTGTGTGTAATGGTGTTGTGGTGGTGTGTGTGATGCTATGTGGCGTTGTTGTGTGTGGTGCGTGTGGTGTGGTGGTGTGGTGGTGTGGTGGTGTGGTGCTGCTGCTAATGTGTGGTGTGGTGGTGTGGTGTGTGGATATGCTATTGTGGTTGGGTGTGCTGAGGGTTTAGGGAAGTGTGGTCGTGTGTGTGGATGTGTTGTTGTGGTGTGTGTGATGGTGTGTGGTGTGGTTGTGTGTGGTGTGTGTGGTGTGTGTGGTGATGTGTTGTGGTGTGTGTGGTTGTTGACCTCACTTTTTGTTGAGGTCTTATCTTTCTTCTATAGAAGCTTAGAATCTAGCCATATGACTTTCCTGTTGATTATCCTAGAGGTCTAGTGATGGAATCCTACCGCATTAGAGATTCTAAACACTTCTTTACTTTTCTTAGAGTTCCATTTATTTGGTTTTGACCTCTAACACTTAGTAGGAGGAATCCAACATGGGGGAGCTCAAGGGGAGTCCTTATAGGATTGTCTAGCCCTTAGGGTTTGCCTTGGGTGGTGTGGTCATGGTTACTCTTGCACACACACACATGAACCCCTCACCTTCATTCACAACCTAAAATCCTTAACAAAACATACTTAGCTTGATTCCGTACTCTTTTTAAAACTCATGTGGGTGGTCCCCCAAACCCTTAACCTTTGGCTAGGATGGCTAGGACCAACATATGGAGGGATTAAAATAGGAATTTCCGTGGTGTCGTGGCACCATAATAATAATTTTGTGATTAGCCTCCACATTGAACCCTAATTCCACCAAAATCCCCAACTCAACCTTTTAGCCCCAAAATTTTTCAAAATTGCCAAATGCCACTGAAATCCAAATTTTCCCAAAATTGTCCAAATTCTCAAATTCTATTAAAAAATCATCTCAAACCATTTCAGACCACTCAAATCGCCTAAAACACCCCCAAATTTACAAAAATCCCAAAATACCCCCAAAATTGTCAAAATTATCAAAACACCCTTCATGTCCAAAAAATTCCTAAAACCTCCCAAATCATTTGAAACCTCTTCTAAACCAATCCTAACCACCCATTGGGCCCAATTTGATAAAATTAACCAATTTTGAGCAAAATCCCAATTTTACCCTTAAAGGCCCAAATTCCCCTAATTCACCCCCAATTTCAACCAAATTGATTTCAAACTCTTCCAATTTCAAATCCAAATCACATTTCATCATGACCAACCCAATTGAAACCAAATTCTAGTCCAATTGAATCCAATTTCAAGTCCAAACCCCAAGCCTAATCTAAATGCCCCAAAATTGTCCTAATTTCAAAATTCCACCAAATGGAACTCCCTAGCCCATTACTTCCATAAAATTCACTTCCTACACTCTTCATAACATTCATCTAGATTAAATTGAACCCTCAATTAGCCTAGACCCAAACCTAAACCTAGCCCAAATCCAACTCAAACAAAAATCCTCATATTTCTCCAAAAATCCAAATTTCTTTAAATTGAACTTCATAACCTCCCATGTTCAACCCAATTATTTCAAATGCCTTAGGATAGTTTTATACACCAAAGTGGCCAATCAATTGACCTAGATCCAAGCTATAGCAAAGGACAAACCCAATTTCAAGCCAAATCTCAAATTTTGAACCCAAACCCTAAACTCACCTTGAGCCACTTGGTCTAGCCTAACTTTGACCACCACAACTGCCTTTTGAACTCTATGAACCAACCTAGATCCTTTTAGCCCACTCTAATGGTGCCATGGACCAAGGGTCCCTTGAATTAGGGGGTTTCCTCCTAAAATTGGCTAAACCAAGGGGGTCCTTCCCACCAACCTTCCCAAGCCCCCAAACTAACACAATTAAACTTTCCTCGCTCCCCTGGCCCAGCTAGTCACTAGCTCAACCCTGGCCAGCCGGCCTAGTGGCCAAAAAACACCATGCTCGAGAGGTCCCAAATTGATTAAACCTAAAATTGAGACTCTCTGAGATGGCTCAACCCCATTGGCCAATTACGTTGTTTATCCTTCCACATAAGCATCCTCTTTGTCCCCCTGGCTTTCCTTGGTGGCAGCCATGGCTCCCTTTATAAATTGAACACCTCTTATGACCAAGAGGAGTGATCATCCAATTACTTGGGGAGAAACTGTCAAAATATTTCCAAAGCCTCTCCAAACCTTCCTGAGTTCAATCCCACTCTCCTCAACCATCCAAAACCACCACCCTTCTAGAAGTTTGAGCTCAAAGTCCAGGATATTTTTTGTCATTCCACAAATCATAACCAAACTTCAAATTAACTCACCCTTAAGCTTCCTTAGACCAAAAGAGGAAGCTTTGCTCTGAAAGTCCCATCCTTTGAGCCCTCTAACCCACTTCTAGACCAAGGCTGCACCACCTGTTGGTCAAATTCCTACTTAGACTTTATACCAAAGGAAGGCGACCCTTCGAGGAGGTTCATTAGACTCTACTGAAGTTTCCAAAAGCACCGAATCAAGGCCTCACTTCTTGGGCAAAAAATATATGTCAAAATCCTTAATTTTAGCCTCGCTTTCATTGTTTAAGAAGTGAAAATGTGTTTCATGCTTGATCAACCATATAGATAGGTTCACTTTGACTAGATGAAGCTATAGGAATAAATCCCATGTAATTTGGTTAATTTGGTTGAGTATCGAGCAAGATCTTAGGCCTAGAAGTTGGACGGTTCTCAGGTTTAGTCACTTGGGGACGATGAACATACGTCATCCATTCACGCATGTATTGATCAAATGGCGGAGGAGTCGGAGGAAAGATTGGTTCATAAATTGTGGGTTGAGTCAGCGTTGATGTCTAAGGCGACGTCAAATGGGAGCACACCGCGTGGAGCCTCG